ATATATATATATATATATATATATATATATTAATATATATATTCATTTTTATTTGTCTTTGTCTTTTATTTTCGTCACAAAGTTGGGTTCCTGCCCAATCTCTTAAATATTCTTATGACATCTTCGTAGTTCTTAGAACACAACGAAAACTGAAAACACGGGAAATAAAAACATTAGGAACGCATTATTCAAAATTGATGGTTATTTTTCCCCTATATGTTTCGCATCTTGTGTACGAATTCGTTTACCTAAATGTATTCATACTTATAAACATCTTTAGGTGCATACGTAAATATTCGAAGCCCCCTTTTTATGAATGTAGTGAACAAATATTCATGCATTATGTATGTATGCATATACGTGCCTGTTTGAATATGCTAATGTATGGTATATATCAACCTTTATGATGTTGAGTACAGGATGGCCGTGTAAATGAAAATACTTCACATATATTTCCAACAGATAGTCATTTATGTGGTTACTTTTTAAAAAATAATGATACTGTTAGATAAAATTTTGAAAAAAAAAGTAATAGAAGAAAGAGTATTGACAACATTTTATCTGTTTTCTCTCTGTCAGTGTGTCTGTCTCTGCTTGTCTGTGTCTTTATCTTGTTTGTTCTGTCTGTCTGTCTGACTGACTTCTCTCTCTCTTTCTCTTCTCTCCTCTCTCTCTCTCTCTCTCTCTCTCTCTCTCTCTCTCTCTCTCTCTCTCTCTCTCTCTCTCTCCTCTCTCTCTCTCTCTCTCTCTCTCTCTCTCTCTCTCTCTCTTCTCTCTCTCTCTCTCCTCTCTCTCTCTCTCTCTCTCTCTCTCTCTCTCTCCTTCTCTCTCTTCTCTCTCTCTCTCTCCTCCTCTCCAACCCTCTCTCTCTTTCTCTTTCTCCCACCGTCGTTCACATTATCTATAGCTTCACGTCTTTGGCATCCACCCATCTTGCAGCCCTTTTATTCTCCACCCCTCCCCCCCCCTCCCTTCCCCTCATCCCTTGACAGCTCGATCCTTTTAATGAGCGAAGATATTAAGCTTCATCAGTTCTCAATTCATCCTACGACCTAGCCCATTACAGGATGTGTCAGACGGTGCCCGGATTCCCCTCTCCCTTCCCCTCCTCCTTCCCCCTACTTCTTCCCTCTCCCCATCCTCCTTCCCCTTCCTCTTCTTCTTCTTCTTCCCTCTCCCCATCCCCCTTCCCCTCCCTCTTCTACCTCTCTTCCTACCCCCTTCCCCCTCTCTCTTTTTCCCTCTCCCCTCCCTCCCTCACTCCCAAACCAAATCCTCCCCCTCTCAACAATCCTTTGAATGGTGGGAAGGGTAGGAGGGGAGAAAATAGCGAATAAAGGAGAAGGGGCAAAAAAAAAAGAAAAAAAGAAAAAGAAAAAAACGAAGGAAGGGAAGGAAGAAAGGAAGCCTAAGATTGTGGTTGTTGGCTCTCTCCTCTTTGGGAACCATCGTGGGGGTAGGTGCGGGGTGGGCGTTGGGGTGTAAATAAACAGGTGACGGGGTGGGGTGTACTAGAGGCGGAGCTGAGCCTCGGATCATCACCTTTCAAAGAAGACCTATTGACCTCCTTCCCCCATCTCCCGCCCCTCCCCACTCCCCCCCCACCCCTCACACCCCCCCCCCCCCCCCCCCCCAGCTTCACCCTCTCTGCACTACCCACCCCACCCACCACTCTTCTCGCCCCACCCCCCCCCTCGCCCTACTCCACCTCGGCCACTCCCGCCTGCCCACACTGCCCACCACAGCCTCCTACTAATTCGTGCACTCCTACCAACCCTTAACAATTATTAAAATAATATTTGAATACCAATAAATGAAATTCTCGAGTAATATGTTTCGCTGTTTAGTTAGAATTAATACAAAATATATATTTTTGAACTTTTATGCAAGGTTAGTTTGAAAAAGCCTGCGAAAGAAGCGACGTAAAGAATTAGTTTAAGGAATATTAAGGGAATGAGGAGGGGAGACAGGGAGGGGGTATCGCGAGAGCCTAATAAAGCTGGGAGGAGGGGAAGAGAAAGTAGGAGAGAAAGAAGAAGTATGTAAGAGGAAGAGAAAGAAGTAGCGTGTAGGGTATTAACATAGATAAATGACTCACTAAAAAGATAGATACGCTAGATTGAGAGACATGAGCGCAGCGGAAGAATAGAAAGAGAATAAAGGTATGACGAGAGTCGGAGCAAGCAAAGCGAGAAGATGTGTCACGAGAGACGGGCAGAGAAGAAGAAGAAGCGAGGAGGAGAGAGAGAGAGAGAGGTAGTAGATGAGAACCAGAGAGAGAAGCAAAGAAAAGAAAGAAGAAATGAGAGAGAATATGAGAGGAGAGAAAATCAGAGTACATCAGAGGGATAAGGATGAGAGAAAGATGGTTAGATGAAAGAGTTAAATTGTGGAAGAGAGTAGGAATGATAGAGTAGAGAGAGAGAGAGAGAGGAGAGAGGAGAATTGGAATGGAGAGAATGAGAGAGTAGGGAGTAATGGAGATGAGAATAGGAGACAGTAGGAATAGAAGATGGAATGATAGGATAGATAGGAGAGAGAATAAGAAAAAAGATGATAGAGAAAGACTAGGGAGAGATAGATAGAGAAAAGAAAAGAGAATAAGATAAGGAGGAACGAGTGAAAAGAGGAAAAGATTGGAAAGGAGATGATGAAATGACAGGAGATGGATGAAGATAGGAATGAGTATTGATGGGATTGTTGTGTGAGTGGGATGGTGGGTGGTGAATGACGATGATGTGGGACAAAAACAAAAACGCGGTAGAAGAAGGAGGCGTGAGAAGGGGGGAGAAGAAAAAGAAGGTGCATATTGGTGGCAGAGAGAGAGGGGAGGAGTACACAGAAGGCTGGAAGGAGGAAGGAGGGCAAAAGAACAGCAGAGACAGAGGCAAAAGAAAAGAGGGGGAGGGAAGGGAGGCAAGGGTGGAGGGATGGAAGAGGGGGAAGAGGGGGGAAGGTACAATTGGGGTGCGAAAGAAGGGCGAAGCAGGTTTAGAGAAAGAGCAAAAGTAATTAGACGGAGTAGTGGGAAGGCAACGTGCGTTATTGTGGAGAAGGAGCGAAACGGAGCGCTTTTGTAGTAGTTGGAGTGTGGAAGGGGAGTGAAGATAAGAGAGAGAAAGAGGTTGTTAGACGGGAAAGGATCGAAGACGCGACAAAAGAGGCGGAGCATCTGTGATGTATATAAGAGGGGAAAATGGGAAGGCGAGACCATAGAGAGATAAGGAAAAAAAAGAAAGGGAGATAAAAAGGAGAGGGGAAAAAGAGGGGAGATAGATTTGAAAGGGGGATTAGAGGGGAGGGGGAATTGTGAAAAGGGGGAGATGGGAGGGGGGGGAATTGAAGGGGGAGATGGGAGGGGGAATTTTGCGGATTGCGCTGGGGTAAGGGAAGGGGAAGCAGGGAGAAGTGAGGAAGAGGAAGGAGGCGGGAGGAGGGAGGAAGGGAGGAAGATGAAGGGGGGGGAGGGATTTATGAAGTGGGACGCGCCGTTTTATGTGTTTGCGACGTGTTCTGTAATTTTCCCTCCGTTAGGCCATGTCAGTGACGGAGGGGAGGGTGTGAAGGGTAGAGGGGGAGGAGGAGAGAGAGAGGGGGAGTGTGGAGAGGAGGGGATGGAGAGGGGAGGGGGAATGGGAGAGATAGGGTGATGGAGGGATAGGATGGGAGAGAGGAAGGAAGGTGGGAGAGGGGAAGGAAGAAAGGAGGGAGGGTGGAAGGAGGGAGGAGACGCGGGAGGGGGAGGGGTAAGGGTGAGGGAGAAGGGGGTGGAGTCTAAAGAGTCTCGGGCCTTATGGGAACGAAGCCGGGCCAAGCATCGTCTAATGGCTGAAATTAACATGACACTCCCTCTGTCTGGCATTGGGCATTTGTCCCGATCCTAACGATTAAAGCAGAAGTCACAACCTGAAAAGACCCGTAGTCATTTGAAATCAACACGGATAGGTATGCCGAGGTCGGAGTCATTCGGACAGATTGAGACACTTAAGCAGGCTCGTGCGCTAGCCGTTTTTCCTTAGTTATGATAGCAGATTGGAGGGAATGGCGAGTAAAGTGAGTCTATTCTATGCGATCACCAAAACGAACGGTAAGAAAAAGGTTGTTATGATAATATCTTAGCGAATGTCACATGACCTTCATAATAAAATATACAGTCTAGGAGAACAGCATAAATGAATAAAATCATATGGATTTTCCGAAAAAAGCTGATGAAATTAATGTCACCCGATAAATAACAACACGAAAACATTTGATATAAAGGAAGAGATATATGATACTCTTACTGCATTCGTGTTTTTCTGGGCTAAACTTTATTACACTCGCGCGTCTTTTTTCCCCTTCTAACCTTTTACTTTTTTTATTCGCGCTCCTTCACATTTCCTTCATCCTTCCCTTGCTCTAGAGATGTTCCTTTAGATATAGCGTTTGGAGTGTCGCTTCAACTGCTCTTATGTCGCTTGTCTTTTCCATGTTTTTTTTTGTTTTGTTTTTGTGTTTGTGTGCCTCTATTTTCTTGCTTGTTTTTGTGTTGTTTCTTTTATTTTGTGATTCTATTTTAGTTTTTTGTTTTTTTGTTTTTGCCTCTTTTCTCGTTTTCGTGTTGTTTCTCTTTTTGTGTCTTTATTTTCTTGTTTTCGTATTTTTTCGCTGTACATTTTTTCTCCCTTGAATCGTGTAGGTATTTCTGTCTCCGTCTTTCTTCCTTGCCTGTCTGTCTTTCTTTTTATTTGTCTTTGTTTGTTTCTTTCTCTGACTGTTTATCTCTACATCTATCTCCCCCTCACATTCACTCTCTCCCTCCCGCACTCATTCACTTACTCTATCCCTCCTTCACTCACTCACTCATTCGCTTACTCTCTCCCTCCCTTACTCTCTCACGCATTCGCTTCTTCCTTCATTTATTCGCTTACTCTCTCCCTCCCTCACACTCTCACTCATTCGCTTACTCTCTCCCTCACTCATTCACTCATTCACTCACACATCCTTTTTTATCTTTACAGCCCCCGCAGGACCTCCCCAGGACGTGTCAGTGCATCTGGTCAACCTAACTCATGCCTCCGTGACCTGGCGACCTCCCGAGGCTGACCTCCAACACGGGGTCATCACTGGATATCAGGTCAGTGATCACGTTTTCTAATTTTCTAATTTGTTTCAGTTAAAAAGGGACAATTATGAGGATGTTTCATAATCGCTATTATCATTACTACCATTACTGTTATGACATTGGGCTTAATACCAATGCCATCATCATCATTATTACTATCGCATCACCACTGTCGCTCTCCTTTTTTATGAACTCTTATTCCCTTTTATGCCAACGATATGGATATTATCATTTTCATCATTTTTTATCTCCTTATACATTGGGTGGGTTTTTGATGCACTAGGGACATTAGGTGCCAAGTACTGTGTATAGGCATATAGATATCTATGTTTTCCATACATGTATATCTATCTAGATTAAAAAAAAAAAAAAAAAAAAAAAAAAAAAAAAAAAAAAAAAAAAAATATATATATATATATATATATATATATATATATATATATATATATATATATATATATATATATAATATATATATATATATATATATATATATATATATATATATATATATATATATATATATTATATATATATATATATATATATATATATATATATATATATATATATATATATATATATATATATATATATATATATTATATATATATATATATATATATATATATTATATGTATATATATATATATATATATATATATATATATATATATATATATATATATATATATATATATATATATATATATATATATATATATATATATATATATATATATATATATATATTGATGCTCCCACTACATTTATATCAATACATTTTTTCTACGCGGCTCTTTGTTGAGAATGCCATGGCTCTCCGTCAGCCCGTAACTGCCTATTTCATGCTCTCGCGATTTCATATCTTGAATTCCCTCAGAGTTTTGACAGGTGTGTCTCCTCGCTTGCGCCGGGGGATCTAGCCTCGGCGATATGAATTCTTGGAATGAAAGAATACATATGTAGATATATATGTGTGTAGTTTTTTTCTCCAATTTAGCTTTGGGTATTGCGGCGTTTGTGTCTGAGTCTCGTGGCTGAAAGGGAATGGAAATGGAGGAGAGATGCGGATGGAATGAAAAAAGTATTAACAAAATAATAGGAGAATTCCTGACTGGAAAAGAACTTAGCTTCTGCCTACAGCATGCGGAGCAGGATTCCGCGTTATTATATGTATCCTGTATCGAAAACTAGCTTGCTAAATAGATGCAGATAGACTGATATGCGTGAGTGTGGTATATATGTATAGAGAGACATATGGATAGATATATAGATGGATAGATATGGTAGAGGGAGGGATGGTAGACGGAGAGAGAAAGGTAGGGAGGGAGGGAGAGAGATACAGAGTCGGTGAGAAGAAACGGAGAGAGAGAGAGAGAGAGAGAGAGAGAGAGAGAGAGAAGAGAGAGAGAGAGAGAGAGAGAGAGAGAGAGAGAGAGAGAGAGAGAGAGAGAGAGAGAGAGAGAGAGAGAGAGAGAGAGAGAGAGAGAGAGAGAGAGAGAGAGAGACAGAGACAGAGACAGAGACAGAGAGACAGAGACAGAGACAGAGACAGAGAGAGAGTTAGATGGATAAATATAGATATACATATACATATATATGACAGATAAAGACAGACAGACAGTAAGAAGAGAGGCAGACGAACCCACCGACACCCAGCGAGGCCCCACACATACAAACCCACCCGATAATGCATCTCCCGCGAGGCGGGACATTTCCCATGATGAATGCTGACGAATCACGTGATCTCTTGGGCGTCACCGAAATGAACGACAGGAAGTTGAGCATTTACCCTCATAACTCCTCCTCGTAAATCCTTCTCAAAGTGTCACCCTCACCCTCATGGATCCTATTGACCGATTCTTCAAAAACTTTTCACTCCGGGAGGCTTCGGGTCCTCGCACGCGGGACGCCGCAAGTCGTGTGTCTTGCTCTGTTTTGAATCTTTGTGGTTGTGCGTTATTTTTTTTTATTGTGGTGTTTTCTGTTTGTGGTTACATTTTTATTTTTCTTATTTCTTATTATTTCATTTAATTGATTTTTTCTTTTTCTCCTTTTTGTATTTTGGATTTGTTTGTGCCTTTCCTTTCTTTGTTGTTGCTTTGTCTTTTTATATCTGCTTTCTCTCTCTCTCTCTCTCTCTCTCTCTCTCTCTCTCTCTCTCTCTCTCTCTCTCTCTCTCTCTCTCTCTCTCTCTCTCTCTCTCTCTCTCTCTTCTCTCTCTGCTGTCTGTTTGTCTGTCTGTCTCTCTCTCTCTCCCTCTCTCTATTTATCTATCTATCTATCTCTCAATTCACCTCATCCTCTCCAATCATATTCATCTTCTTCCCTTCTTCTTTAACCCATCCCTACCCCTTTCCTTTTTACCCCACCTTTCCCTACCTTACCTCTCCCTTTCTTCTATCTCTCTCCCCCTCCTAACATCTCTCGCTCCATCCCTCCCTCCTTCCATCTCATGTCCTATCTCTCCCTCCCTCCCATCTCTTCATTTCATGCTCCTCCCTCCTCCCTCCTTTCCTCCCTCGTCTCTCCATCTCTCTCAACCTCTCTCTCTCTCTCTCTGCCCCTCTCCCTCCCTCCTTCCTCTCCCTTCTCTCTCCTTCTTCCATCTCCCTTTTCCCTCCCTCCTTTTCTCTCTTCCCATCCCTCCACCTTTCCCTCCTCTCCCCCTCTCCCTCCTTCCCTCTCACTTCCCCTCCCTCCACCTTTCCCTCCTTCCCTCCACCTCTCCCTCCCTCCCTCCTGGCCCTCTCAACGCACCCGCACCCATCTCACGCCCAAGTTATCCAAATTTCAAAATTCGAACGCACGCAAACCCTCACACCATGACAGCGACGTGTATGCCTGTCATGTGCACATCGCCCCCGGAAAACACAAGGGCGATCGCGGTCACTTCATTATTATGATTAAACCACGTCTGTTGAATCACTTCGTCCTGGACATCTAATTAAAGAGGGAGAGAGGGAGAGGAGGAGGGAGGAGGTAGAGGAGGAGAGGGAGAGGGAGAGGAGGGGAGGAGGTTGGGGGAAGGGTGGGGAGTGGAGACAACAAAATTTGCGAACGTCGAAAATATATATTTTCCAGCGACGGTAATTAACAGATTTCGATTATCACGTGATTAGTGGCAGTCTTAATTAACGAATATGATCCAGTTATTGCTCCAATTGAGTGACAGATGTAAGGGAAAGGCTGAAATGGCGGAATTTTGCTTGCAGGTTCTGAATTAATGGAGATCAGAATTAATGACGTAATTAATTTTTCTAACATTACTCATTATTTATATTCGTATCATTATTGTTACTCTTACTTTCATTACTATTATCATTATTATTATTATTATTATTAGTTATTATTATTGTTATTATCATTATTGTTATTATCATCATTATCATTATTATTATTATTATTATTATTATTATTATTATTATTATTATTATTATTATTATTATTATTATTATTATTATTATTATTATTATTATTATTATTATATTATCATTATTATTATTATTATTATTATTATTTTATTATTTATTATTATTATTATTATTATTATTATTATTATTATTATTATTATTATTATTATTATTATTATCATTGTTATTACTTTTATTATTAATGTTATTATTATCATTACTATTATCATAATATTATCATAATGATCATATTATTATCATCATTGTCATTATTATTAGCAGCAGTTCTAGTAATAGTATTAGTACTTTTACTATCAATATCATTATCATTATTATCATTACAATTATTATCATAATCATTATCATTATTATTATTTTCGATATTATTATTATCATTATTACCATTATCAATATTGTTATTACTTTTGTTATTTACATAATTATTATTATTATTATTATCATCATTGTTATTATTATTATTATTATCGTTATCATCATCTATTATTATATTATTATATTATTATTATTATATTATTATTAATTATTATTATTATTATTATTATATTATTAATTATTATTTATTATTATTTATATTATTATTCATTATTATTAATTATTAATTTATATCATCATCATTATTATTATCTTAATTTTTTTATCATTATCATTATTATTATCATCATTATTATTTTCATTATTGATATCATTACTATTGTTATTATTATTATTACTATTATTATCATCATTATTATTGTTATTATTATTATCATTATTATCTTTATTATTACTATCATCATCATCATTATCATCATCACTGTTATTATTCGCTTCATCATCATCACTGACATCATCATCATCATCTTAATCTTCCTCTTTCTTCTCCTACTCATTATTATCATCATTACCATCCTCCTCATCTTCGTTATCATGATCATGACCAACACCATCATTACCATAATAGTATGAGTGTCGTATTATGATGCAAAAAAAGTAAAAAAATCACATCCCATTTATTGCTATCTTCGCCGTGTTCCTCATTAGCATAATTATCCTTCTCCTCCTCCTTTTCCTCTTCCTTCTTTCATCCTATCTTATCTCTCTTCCGCCTCGACCAGCCTTTGAGCTTGTTACGCTCTTAACTAGAAAAATAAAAATGAAAAGAAGAAGAAGAAAAAAAAGTGATTTTGAATTTTAAAGACCATTTTTTGGTTATCTCACACACGCATTTTCTCTTTTTTTTTCTTCTTCTTCTTCTTCTATATCATCAAAGAGTTTTATTTTGCCACTTTGGTGCGGATAACAGCATCCTGAAACCGTGGCTGAAATATCGGATATCACCAGAGAGCGCAAAAGCAAGGCGGCGCCATTTTGAATTCCGTTATTTTTGAAATCCTTTGGCTAAGCTTTCGTTTCACTTTTTTGTAATTGTTATTTTGCGATGGCGTGTTACCAAAAAGATTGATAATAATTATTTTATTTGCATTAATATTGATGTTGATATATTCATATATTTATTCATATCCATCTATCTCTCTCTCTCTCTCTCTCTCTCTCTCTCTCTCTCTCTCTCTCTCTCTCTCTCTCTCTCTCTCTCTC